GTCGTCAATTATTGGAAGTAAAAGCAAATTTTGTTTTTAGAAAACATAAGGAATTTCTTTTAACAGCTAGCAACTCATAGAATGTCAGAGTTGAAAAGGATCTCAGAGATCACCTTGTCCAACCTCTTTCACTTTTCATTTTCTGAGGCCCAGAAGGGGAGAGACATGCTGAAAGTCACCAAGCAAATTAATGACAATTTGGCATAGTCCCCAGCTTTCTTGATTCCGTGTTGATTCTCTTTCCCCTTGTATATGCTGAAGTGATTTCCATTTTCCTAGACGTGGGAGGAAGGTGACAGGTGGGAGGAACATAAACAGGGGTGTGCTGCAATCAGCTCAACAGGTTCTTGGATTATTAAGTTTTCTATGCAAGCATTTACACCCCAGAAATTGGCAAGTGCTACAAAACAATGCTTGATTTATTGTTTTGTTGGCTGACTAGGCTTAAGTAAGTCAATGTGAAAATGTTATTAATGCAGATTAAATGTAAAAACAGTTTGTGCATTTTTAGAGAGCTGGTTGTTAAATATTTACCAGCACACTCCTGAATATGGGCCTGGATGACATTTTTTAAAGTGCTAGATTTGGCACCAGTGGAGTAGGTTTCAAATCTTGTTTATACTGTATGACTTTGGAAAAGAAATTTAACCTTTCTGGGCCTCCGTTTCCTGCCCTGTAAAATGAGGTGGTTGGACTATATCAGGGGTTCTTAAACTTTTTTGTAACATGGACTCCTTTGGCAGCCTGATGGAGCCTACGAACTCCTCAGAATGATGTTTTTAAATGCATAAAACTTTTTAAAAAGGGGAGAGCAGCTAGATGGTACAGTAGAGTGCTAAGCTGGGATTCAGGGTAACTCATCTTCCTGAATTCAAATCTGGCCTCAGATACTTACTAGCTGTGTGACCCTGGGCAAGTCACTTAACCCTGCTTGCCTCAATTTCTTCATCAGTAAAATGAGCTAGAGAAGGAAATGGCAAACCAGTCTAGTATCTTTGCCAAGAAAACCCCAAATGGGATTACATCGAATCAGATATGACTGAACAACAAAAATTTTTGAAACATAAGATTATAAAGGAAATCAGAAGTTAATGAAAGTAAGGATGTCATTTTTTCCCCATCCAAGTTCATGGTTACCTGAAAACTAGACTCCTTGAAGGCTTCTGGCCGCTCCCTGCCCCAGCACCTCCCCCACCTTGCCCCTTCCCAGCTCTATATTTCTGCTCCTTTGATTACTCAGGAAACATTAAAAGGCTCAGCCTAGATTTACAATTCAAGTCATAGCTCAATTTTCAAGATCTCCACTTTTGATGAGAGTTCAGTGGGGTCAGCTTCCCATTATCCCAGGTACGATCACAAACAATTGGTGAATTTTTTTTGTGTCTGGGCTATCTTTGGATTTCTTAGAAACACTCTCTCTTCATCCTAAAGTCAGCAGGAGATTTGCTGGTGAATGACCTGGCCTTATTTGCTATTATAGCAGGAAATGAGAGGATGCTCCTTAGGAGGTGGAATGAGTCCATTGTGAGCTATTAGAGTGAGTACCTGCCCTCTGGCTGGCCTCAGCGAACACGCCCAGGGACACACAGGCTTGGTACCTGGTCCTTCTAAGGCTGAGCCATCTCTCTTTGTTATTCCGCTCTATGCCACTGGATGTTAAAGTATATATCGCCTTGGCATGTGTTTCCAACTTGGCCTAGGATTAGGATACCAGGATCCTGGATCTCGAGCTGGAAGGAGCCATCTAATCCAACCCCCACGTTTTGCAGGTGAGGAGACAGGCTGAGAAACTTGCAAAAGGTCACAGAGAAGGGAGGCCTTGAATCCACATCTGATTCCTGAGCCTCTGTTCTTCCTACTGTCCCAGTCCTTGCTCTGCTGCATGACCTTGGCAAATCCCTTCTCTTCTCTTGGCCTCATTTTCTTCCTTTGTACAATAAGAGGGCTGGACTAGATGGTCACTAAGGCTTCCCTTACACCTCCAAGAGCCAATGTTTTTCTGCTAGGACTCCAGACCCCACCCCTGACCTCTGACCCACACACCAGCCCCTGGGTGGAAACGCAATGTCACTATCTGACCTAACACGGCATAATTTGGTGAGAATGCCAGCGCCTCCATCTACCCAGACCTGAACTTATGTGGCAAAGCAAGGTGAGAAAGTTCATTCTCTGGACTCTTTTATGAATGCACCATTTAATACTCCAATAATGACTGCCAATGATGCCCTCATCTTTATTTATAAGCTCCTTGGTGTGCCTATTGGGCCATGCTCTGTTTCTAGCAATATAGTAGAAAGAACACTGAATTTGGAGCCAGAGGACCTAGGCCTATGTTCCAGCTTTGCTACTTCCACTTTTATGACCTTGAACAAATCACTTCCTCCCAGTGGGCCTCAATTTCTTCATCTGTAAAATGAAGAGGGTGGACTAGAAGATCTCTAAGGTCCCTTCCAACTTTAAATCCTATGATCCTATTTTTTTTTTCCAATTCCATGTCATTGTCTTTGGAACAAGGCCATATGACATGGGGGCAAAGAGTTCTGGGTAGAAAGTCAGAAGTCTTGAGTTCTTATTTATTTATTTATTTATTTAATTTTAAATTCAGGGAACAAAACAAGCATTTCCATAACACAGTACAATAAAAAAGATGTTTGCATATGAAACTATAAATCTATCGTATACAACTTGCTATTCCCTCCAAATATACAAGTTATCATGTAAATTTCTTTTTTCCCTTTTTTTCTTCCTTCCCTCCCCCACCCTACAGATGGCTACCATTAGACACAAATAGGTATATACTTGTAAAATTATTTTATACATCTATTTATCAGTTCTTTTTCTGGATGCAGATAGTGTCTCATTTCATATGTCCTTTATTTTTAATTTGTGTATTTATAATAGTTAAAATTAGTTGCTCAAAGTCATTCTTAAAACAATATTGCTGTTACTGTATACAATGTTCTCTTGGTTCTGCTCACTTCATCCTTCATCATTTCATGGAAGTCTTTCCATACCTTTCTAAGATCAATGAGCTCATCTTTTCTTATAGCACAGTAGTATTCCATCGCAATCATACATCCCAATTTGTTGTTGGGTTCTAATAAATGGTTATGTCCCTGATCATGAGCAAATACCTTTACCATTCTGGGCCTCAGTTTCTTCATCTATGAAGACCAGATGATCTTTAAGGTTTTTCTAGCTCTAATGTGCCTGTAAGGTTATATTCTCAGGAGGCATAGGAATCTTTCAACAACAGGGTAATGTAGTGGACCCAGCTCAGAACTGGAAGTCTGGAAACTCAGGTTCTAATCTTGGCTCTGCCCTGAAAATCTGTATGACTTTGGACACATCCCTGAGCCACCTCAGTTTCCTCCTCTATACAAAGACAGGACAGGGCTAGATGATCTTTAAAGTACCTTCCTTCTCAATATGGTCTAAAGTCCCTTCCTTCTCTATAGCCATAGGAGGCAGCTAGGTGGTGCAGTGGATAGAGCACCAGCCCTAGAGTCAGGAGGACCTGAGTTCAAATCCAGCCTCAGACACATGATACTACCTGTATGACCCTGGGCAAGTCATTTAACCTCAATTGCCTCACTAAAAAAAATAAGTAAAAATAAATGCCTATGGTTCTTTGTGGTCTTGAAGAGGTTGATTTTGTGGGGAATGTTGGAAAAGGGTTAACATAATCTTGTGTTCCCCAGATAGCTGCTTACAGAAGGGAGTTATTGCTTCCTTTTATCTTATAAGGTTAATCTTTCGTTATTTGGTGTTTCCTGAAACACTTTTTATTTATGAACATGTTACATGAAGTGGGTGTGTTCAGAGCATTCATGGCTCCTGGCCAAGGCCAGGGTTGGGCATCTCTTGGGTGTGGCTGCATATAGGCTGGTTTGGAAAAACAGACTCGTGTATAATCTTTCACTTATTTTGCCCTATTTAGCTTCCCCGTTTTGAGCTAGCTTCCCAAGTAGCCATGTTCACCCTGGGCACCCTTACTCAGGAGAGCTTGTCTCTTCATCTGCAGGCAAGACCTCTGAGTCTCCACTCTACCCAGATGGGATACTAGAGCTGGGATCAGGAAGGAGGAATTAAATGATCCCTGCTTCGCTAAACTGGAAGGGTTGCCAGAGTTCCAGCCCTCTGCCTGTCACAGGACTCCAAGACGCAGAATTCCTGATAAGAAGAGACTATCGGGTAGTAGAAAGATCACTGGACCTGGGTTCAAATACCCTCTTCAATACTTCCATCTCTGCGACTTTTAGCACACTTGTGCTCTGCAGGCCTCGATTTTCGTCTTTGTAACATTGAGAGAGTTGACTTGATGGCTTATGAGGTCCCTTCCATCTCTGACATTCTGACATTCTCTAAATAAGAAGGGGAATCCCACCACCTTGCAGGGTCGCCTATTAATTGGTTGGACTGGAAAGTTCTTACTTAGACTTCTTTATGCGCTGAAATCTAAGACTAAGGTGCCAATGAATAGGCCATGGTCTGATTTCCCTCCTAAGGATGAGAGATGGTGCTGTGGAGTGTGTTTGAATCTTTCTGCTTTGGCAAGCTGGTAATGTCGGTTTGGGAGCTGTGGTTTTGATGGGCACAGAGAGAGAATGGGGTGGAGGGGGAGCTGGAAGTGCAGTAAAACGGGAAAGACTGTAGACTGGGAGAGGGGACCCGGCCTGGCCGGAGAAGGAGGAGGGTTCCAGCAGACCGGCTGATGCTTGCCTGGCAAGGGATGGAGCTGAGTACCTAAATTGGGGGGTTAGGGATTGGATGTAGAAGAGGTCCGGGCTGAAGATCCGAGGGCAGTATCTCGAAGGGGGTAACAGAGGGTAGGGCAGGGTCCCGGGGAGGGGGAGAAGAGTGGAGGGCAAGATCCCTGGAAGGCCGAGTCGACCGCGGTAATCCGAGGCCATCTGGGGCGGGAGCTGGGGAGGCGGGGGCGGAGCCGGGGGTGGGGATCCCGCTGCCCCAGCCCGGCCCCGCCCTGCCCATACTGGGAAGCCCGGGCCGGGACACAGACAGGAAAGTCTGCAGGGCCGGCCCTGTCCGGCTCCTGAGCCGCTGCTGCTGCGGTCACCGTCACCATGTCAGGTCAGTGCAGCCTTGTCGGACTCAGCGCTCCCGGTGAGCACAGGGGAGCACAGGCAGGGGCTCGGCCCGGGCCAGGGGGTCCTAGGCCGGCTCTGGCAGAGCCCCCAGGGACTGGGGATCGGGCCAGGGAGAAAGGAAAGGGAAGGGGCCGTAGCCCTAGTATCCCGCAGAGGCGCGCACGCTTCGCTGTGCGTGCGAGGTTTGTTTGTCTGTGTCCGATCTGGGCCCCCGGAGAAGGCTGGGTGGCTGTGGCGGTGGGGAGGAGAGGGCGGTGAGCGCCACTTCTGGGAGGGGAGGGGGCAGTCAATGGAATGAGACTGAGAGTACAACCACCTCCCCTCCTACCCCGCACAGTCCCCGGGACAGGATCGGTGTGTTCTGTCTAGAGGTGGGCGTCGCACACCAGTAGCCCCCAGTGACCTGAGAGATGTTTTCAGTGGCCGGGGCCGGCTTGGAGTTTTCGTTTTGGTCAATAGAGCTTGGGCTGGGCACAGAGCCCGAGCGCATCCTTGGTACTGGCCTCGGGTTTTCTTGAGAATTCCTCTGCCAACAGGAACAGACAACTGTATCCGGAAAAGGAGAATTGGGTCTGACTCACTGCCTTCGTCAGGGTTTTCCCCTCTAGTGTTACTTAAAGTAAACATTTGTGAATATCGATGGCTCTCAGTTGTCAAACAAGTGACCTCCAACTTTTGTTCCTGAGGATATGCGTCCAGTAGAGTAAACAGTAGGACTTTCTCTCTCTCTCTCTCTCTCTCTCTCTCTCTCTCTCTCTCTCTCTCTCTCTCTCTCCCTCCCTCCCTCACCTAGAGGGGATAATCAACCTTACTTTCTCTGGCCCCAAAGTATATGCTTAGAAACTCAATAACTCTGGCCCCAAGCAACAAAAAGCTGACTTTTCCATTCTTCTGGGAAGAAACTTGTTGACTCAAAAGTTTTGGGAGAGTTATTATAATAAGTGTAAGCTGGTATGGGGGGAGGGTGCAAATTTATATATCTGTTGTGCTTCTTGTAAATAGAGCTCAAAGGTTTACAAGGTATTTTACATACATAATCTCCCTTGATCTACAGCAGGGTTTCCTTGTGTGTGTGTGTGTGTGTGTGTGTGTGTGTGTGTGTGTGTGTGTGTACACGTACCATGGACTCCTTTAGGAGTCTGGTGAAGTCTGTGGACTCCTGCGAATAATGTTTTTAAGAGCATAAATTAAATATCTAGGATTACAAAGGAGATCAATTATAATATTAAAAATAAGGATTTATTTTCCTATATAAGTTCATGGACCCTCTGAAATCTACCCATGAACTCCAGGTGAAGAGATAACCTGATCCAACCCTGACATTTTATAGATAAGGAAACTGAAACCTAGAGACTGTGTCTTTGTCCAAAGTTAGATAGAATTGAGATTTAAACACAGGTCCTCTAACTCCAAATGCAGTATTATGTCTACTATACCATGCTTTCTACATGGAATCACAGGTGGCATCAGCCTTCTCCCAATCACTCCTAATCTTGGGGGGTGGTTCTTTCCCTTCCCCTTGGCCCTTCTACCTAACTCAGTAGTCTGGAAGTGGGACAGTGTAATATTACTATTCTCATCTTAATGAGGAGCAGACAGCCTCAGAAAAAGTTAAATGAATTGTTGAAAATCATAAGGCCATTAAATGCGAGAGTTGGGATTCAAACCTGGGTTTTTTGGTTTTTAAAACCATTATTCTTTCCCCAGCCTCAACCTTGGCTATTTTTTAGGTACAGCCTCTGGAATAAAAATAGGACTTTAGTATAAATAACACAACAGTCCTGAGACAGACATCAAATCTTTTGCTTTGAGTGATGACATTCAACTGATAAGGAGAATGTTGACTGGAGAAATCTGCGTACTTCTTGTGGTTGGGACTGGGACTTCCCCTTTAGGGACCATCTCCTGAAACTCTGCAAGGCCTCCATCCTTCTCCAGAGGGCAGATCTCTATTCATTGTTACTCAGGCTAACCACCATGATTTCTGTCTTTCTATTCTGGGATGGTGGGGATGAAGTACAGAGAAAAAAAAAATTGGACAAGAAGTGCTTGCTCAGGCTCAGGCACGATGATTACAGCTTGCAGTAGTCACATGCAGCTTGTAGTGCTGAAACTCCACCTCCTACACACACACACACACACACACACACACACACACACCCCGTTATTGACAGGGGGAATCAGATTACAAAGACAGAGAAAACCAGGTGACTTCCAGGCTCTGATATTCCAGTTGTCAAAGCATGTTTAAGACAGCGTGCATCAAATACCCAGGAGTATTGTTGAATTTAGATAGGACTGAGTTGATGCATGCTAAGTCCAACTCAGCCATTATCATCATTGCTGTTAGCTGTCTTGGAGAGAGACTTTCACTGCAATGCTTCCGTTGACCAGTGGTTGTATCTAAGAGTTATTTAAGTTCATAAGCCTGTTCATGAACTTGAGCCCAGCAAAGGAAATGCTTTCATGTACTAGTAATATTATTAATAATAACAACTCAACCCAACCTTGTCAGGGTAGGTGAGGCGAGAATTATTACCTATAGTTTACAGATGAAACTGAGGCTCTGGGGTGTTAATTGATTTGCTCACGGTCACACAATACAGGTGGGATTTAAACCCAGCTTTCCCAACTCCAAAGAAAGCACTCATTCTCATTATACTAGGTTAGGAAAGCTAAACAATTTATGTTCCATTAGTTGCTTTCTGTTGTTTTTTTTTTTAGTTGAGCCCAACAACTAATGGTATATGGGATCCTTTCTTAAATTGTTCGTAAGTATTGTAGGAGTACAGACAGAGTTAACAACTGGATTGCCTTTCCTGCTGAGGCATCAGTTTTGGGATTCCTGTAGCCAGAACTTGATCGGCTGCCTTCAGAGATCCCTGAGTAAGCTGTTCTTGACTGACACCCAAAGGGAAGAAGGCTAGCTAGGCCCTCAGTTGGCATCTTCTATATTAATGACATTCAAGGAAAAAATACTTTAAAAGATGCACATTATGTTAGGTATATCAGGTTTCTTCCCCTTCTCTCATCCTTCCCAAAAGCATATGGGTATATATGTTCCTCAGCTTGTTCTCTCCCCTCCCATTTTTTTTTTTCAAATCAAAATCATACCCTGCCTATTGCAGTGCAGTAATGTACTGGCTAGAGTGTGAGGCCTCAGTCCTAGTCACTAACTCACTCTAGGACGATGGCCAGGACCCCTCAATGGTCCTTTGCCAACAGTTTGCTCATCTGTAAAATGAGGGCTTGGACTCCAAGGTTCCTTCCAGCACTTGGTAGTCTAGGATTCTACCTTTCCATATTGTTCTATTGGGGTGGCACATTGAGCCCGGAGGGCCTATCAGGACTCTTTCAGCTCTGATGTTCAGTTCAACAGCTATTGTTAAGCACTAACCATATGTAGAGCCTTGTGCTGTCACAGGAAGAAAAAGATGAAAAGCCGGACAGAACTGCAACATGTATCTGCAGAGTATGATACAATGTAATAAAAAAAAACAACAACTATCATTTTTATGGAGCTTTTAAGGTTTCCAAAGCACTTTACAAATGTTATTTAATCATCACAACAATCCTGGGAGGTAGGTGCTATGATTATCCCCATTTTATGGATGAGGAAGCTGAGGCAGATAAATGAAGTAAGTTATCCAAGTTCTCACAGTGAATAAGTAAATGGAACTGGATTTGAACTCAGGTCTTCCTAACTTCCAGCAGTCTATCAACTGTACCTAGTTCTGCTAAATCTGGAAAGATGTGGTTTAGATAATGGTACAAAGAGGTGGATTCCAAATTGGTTGAATGGCCAGATGCATTGGTGTAGTGGATAGAGTAATGGCAAGCAAGTACTTAGGTGCTGTGGTAGGCACTGGGGATGCAAAGAGAAGAAAAAAAACAGTGCCTGCCCTCAAGGAGTTTACATTCTAATGAGGAAAGATAACACAAAATGGAGCTGGGGGGGATATTAAGGCACAGTATTGAAGTCCAAAAAGGCCGAAGCACAACCAGGTGGAGAAGAAAGGTTGGCAGATCTGAGCCCCTTCCCAAAATAAAGAAACTGGGATGGGACCAGCTTCATAGAAGAATATTCAGAGTGAGAAGCCTCTGGGGAGGATGAATATCCCAGGTCATCCTCAATGCTGAGGGAGGATCCATAATGAGCCTAGAGTCAAGAAGACACGTGTTCAAATCACACCTCTGATACTTAATAATCGTGTGACTATGGACAAGCAACTTCTTTGAAAATCAGTTCCTTATCTGTAAAATGGGGATAATAATGCAGGTAGTACCAATCTGACAGGATTGCTGTTAGGCGCAGATGAGATAATGTACATAGAAGATTTTGCAAACCTTAAGGTACTATGTAAACACCAACTAATAGGGGGTGTCAACTTGGAGAGAGGCCTCCAATGGAATGCTCCAAGGATTTGGGGTTGGTCTTGTGCCATTCAACATTTTAAAAAAATCTATAACCTAGATAAAAGTATAAGTAATTTGCTTAGCAAATTTGCCAGTGACATAAAACTTGGAGAGATCAACATGTTGGATGAAAAGAGTTAGGGGCCCACAAAATCTCCACAGGCTAGAATGTTAGGTGCGATCTAAGTAAGGTAACATTTAGTAGGATTAAAAGTGGAGTCTTGCCCTTGAATTCCAATGATCAATTTTACAGGTACCAGAGGAGGGAAGTACAACTTTGCCCTCTCTGTCTCTTCTGTGCATTTGGACAGGCAGGCACTCACATGCTTGAAACATGTCCCTTTCTCATTGGCTGAAATCCAGATTTTCCTTGAAGCCTTTGCCCAAGGGCCATCATATTCGTGAGGTCTTCTCTGATTCCCCCAAACGAAAATGTTCTCTCCTTAAATTTTTCATTGTGTCTGAACTAGAAGGAATCTTAGAGATCATATAGATCAATCCAGTCATTTCACTATTAATTGTAATTTTAGAGTTAGCATATCTTAGTGAATAGAATGCCAGCTTCCAACTCAGGAAAACCTAGGTTCAAGTACCACTTCT